CTCTGTGCTCTTAATATATTGGAATCTGCTTAGTGAGAGTGCTTTGTTTTGGAAAATAATTGAAACTATGGCAACCCTTGGGGTTTTTTCCAGCTTATTTGTCTACCTCATGCACTTCTCCCTTTTGGTGGATGATTAGCATACTGGAAACCACTGGTAGCTGTTAATGTTATACAAACAGCAAAATAAGTTCTGTAAATATTAAATCCAGAATTGTTTATTTGTGCTTTAGAAATCATTGAACACAAACTGAATGTCATTACAAAACTGAGAGTTTAAGGCCTCTTCACTATCTCAGTGGCCTAAGTCTACAAATCTGTAAGTGCAGAGCAAATGGTTTTGGCACAGGAGCACTAATTCTGATCAGTGCTTGCCTGCTGTGTGCTCCCCCTGATTTCCATCGGGTTCTCTTGAGCTCTTGTTTTATGTTTGTTTATGTTCAAACTTGTTAACCACACGCAGACATCAGTTTACATAAATTGAATTTCTGTTTCTCTTGAATATGACTTCTCTTTCCCAGCTTTCAGTCTCTTGCACAGGGGATTGTAGCCTTAATTTATTTATTTTTCTTTTACACTTCTGTGTTCAGTTGCTGCTGTGATTAGAAAATGGGTCATCCTTGGATGAACTCTTATGAACTGCCACTTCCAGGGAGCTTGCTTGCCTGGGAAATTCTTGTAGTGGGAGCCATCTTAAAATCTTCCTGACAGCTACTGGTGACCTTGTTTTGTAATTACTTGTGGTTCTGTCTAGCTCTTCTAAAGTGTTGCTTCTCCATGTATGAAAAAGCTTTTAAAACACATTATAATTTAGATTTCCAGTCTCTGGCTTCTTTCCAAATAAAACCTTGATGTCTCAACAGTTAAAACTGAGAAGCTCTGTTGCATGGTCTGTCTGGCATTTGCACTGATAAGTGGGGCAGACATGCCTGGCAGCCAGCCCAGGGGCTTCAGCCTCCTGGAGCCCCCCTGGGTGGGGTTGTGCAGCTGAAAGCTCTGCTGCCTGTGCAGCCCCTGAAATGGGAGGGGATTCTTCCTCCTCCTCCTCCTCCTCCTCTTCCCCTTTTCCAGTCAAATATGCATGCTGATAAAGTCTTGCCTTTATTCTCTCTCTTTTTATGGATATTCTTTCTCTTTCTGTGCTAGTCTAAGCACTTCTCTGAAACTGGGTATGAAAATAAAAAAGCCAAATTATAGCTACTCTCTTACTAAAAATATTATGGTAAACATATGGTTTGTTATTTGTGAGAATGTTGACTGTGCCCTGTGGTTGTGACACTAAAACAAAATTCCTCTTCCCAAGACCTATGAGATTTATTAGAGGTTTGTAATTTGTTTCTTATAGATTCCTGAAATCCTATTTTTTCATCCAGTGCTGGCTTTTTGTGGTGTATTTCTTTCTGGTCCTGGGTATGGTGCACATGCACGACCACCCAAGCATTTCAGTGTGTCTGGTCTTGCTGGGGTTGCATGCAGCACATCCCCCAGTCAGTGTGACAGAGTTTGTGCACTTTCATTGACACAGTGCAGTGCATTGTCACTGCAAAGCATCTTCTTAAGGCTTTCTTCTCACTGCTGTGAATGGTGGAATATAAGCCCTTGCTTATACTCAAGGGCTTCTGGTCACTTTGCTGCCTTTTGTTTCACTTGCCATAATGGTTTTCTTTTTCCCAATAAAGTGGTTTTCTGATTGGCTGAGGCACAGCCATTCCCTGCTGCAGGATGGTTTGGAAAGGTCTGTTTGTCCTCAGGGTGCTGTTGTGCAGTTGTGAGGCTCTGCTTTGGGACCAGCCCAGCTTTCTGTGCTGGAATTACTGCTGCAGCACTTGGAAGGCGTGACTGGGAACGCTGGATCTCAGCTTTTAATGTGCTGCAATTGCGTGTTGTGCAATCCATAGGGAAGTTGAGATGCTGCTTTCAATCTTTAAATGATTTGGGTCCTGGTCTCTTGAGTTGAGTAGAGGGCAAGGATGTGGGGGCTGTGGGCTGGCAGGATGCTCTCTGAGGAGCTGCACTATAGGGGGAGTTTCTGTCACAGTCTGCACTTGCCAGGCTTTGCCTCTGCCTGCAACACCTACTACCTTGCTTTTTTTGTTTTGGTTTGAGTGGGTTGCAGGCAGAGTGTTGTGAGCAGTTTCTGTCTGTGTTCCTGCAGTGATTTGTAATTTGAGAGTACAGTGAGAATGCCCCTAGATGTATTTCATAAAACTGAAAGAAATAAATGATTGCCAACACAGGTGAGAAAAGGTCACTGAACACTTATTAAATGACTCAAAATCCATTGGTGCTTCTGAGGGCAGCGAGAGTGAGAGTGTAAAGAGTATTAATGCTGATTTTTGACACAAATAATTCTGGACTCTTGTATTATCTCCTACAACCTCCAGGTTTTGCACCCTATCAAAGGGGAGGAAGTAAACCTTATCCAGTGGCAAGTAAGAATTATGATATATAATTGTAGGTAGCCAAGGGCACTCCAGAGACTGATCATAAACCAACTTTAATTCTTAATTTCCTACCCTGTTACAGCCTCCTTCGTGGATTATTGCATTTCTAGCTTGAGTATTTTGTGACTCTTTAAAGGCTCCTGTAAGGAATGGGGATTTGTGACTAACATTTAAGGACATTCTTTTTACAAACTGTAAACCCTTTTGCTCTTTTTTCAGAAATTAAAAGGGAAATATTGAGATGTGGATTGTATTGTTCATGCCATTCATGTTTACATATTAACAGATGAGACATTATCTTTCTGTTGCTGGCAGATCAAATACAACATGTTATTGTAACAGATAGCCTAAAGCAAGATAACCAAAACCAGAATTCAAGGAAAAGAAATAATTTAAACTGAAGCAGTATGAGTATTTTGATTTGGAAACATCAGAAGACAGAGTGAGAGTTTGTAAATTTTCAGATTTAGAATTTTACTGAACTGCTAAGATCATTCATCATGCTTAGGATGATGATGATCTGCTCACGTGTTTTTATTAACCTCTAGGTTAGGTGCTGAATAGTGTATTTCTGGCAGTGCAGTTAAATGTTCAGACCAGATCATTAAATGTCTCAGGAAGCAGTCAATTTTATGGTCCTAACAGCTAATATAATTGTAAAAGATAATATACCTTAAAATTTATTTAAATATTTGTTGTGGAGCAGCATTCATCCATTTTTTCTTTCATTTCTTTTTTCATGCATTCCAGAAGTGTGTTAACTTGAAGAATTTTTTCATGCATTCCAGAAGTGTGTTAACTTGAAGAACTTTATTTTAAAATAGCTAATTTTGCAGAGTTATCAGACATGTGCAATATTTAGAGAAAACCTAGCCCCAGTGTGGTGTTGTGGTTGAACATGGCAGATAGCTAAAGCACCACACAGCTGTTTGCTCGCTTCTTGGAGTGGGATGGGGGCAGAATCAGAAAAAAGGTGAAACTCATAGGTTTTGATAAAGGCAGTTTAATAAATGTAATGGAAACATCTGTGTTATCAACACTGTTTTCAGCATAAATCCAAAGCACAGTCTCATACCAGCTACTATGAAGAAAATTCTCTGTATTCCCAGCCTAACCCAGCACATGAAGTAAGGAAAGAATACAGTTATTTTGATGTTAAAGTCTGCACTCTGCTGCCTTTTGTCTGACTATTTCTGCTGCTTCCATTTTGCAGCAGTTGCTTGAAGGAATACATTGAAGTGGCAGGTTGTCACATGGAACAAAATCAAGGCATGTCTTACTAGTCCAGTGGTGTGGGTGTGATTTATGTGCCTACACTGCTATTACTTGAGCTTGTTTGTACTTTGCAAGTACATGAAGCAGGATGCATTGCTTCTCACAGTAAAATGTTAGTGCTTATGTCTGTTTGGATGTGTTCCAGTAGAGTTTGGTCAGCCAGCTTCTAAAAGAGACATCCTCACATTTGTATTAGTTCAGCTGGGAGTAATTTCACTAGAGCCTTACTGGGAAATAGAGGAACATTTCAATTTTTCTCTCCCAGGCTTTATTTGAAGGCTTCTGGACTTACCATAGGGAAGTTGAGGTGACTGGAATGGGATAGGCAATGGGTCAAACCACTGATGTAATACTGATGGTATCCCTAAACTTGACTCAGACTCATGTTGCAGAGTGAGCCTTGGTGTGCTGACAGCCTTGTGACAAGTCATGGAGCAGCTGGGCAGGGGAAGCCTCTGTCAGCTTCAGCAGGTTGTGCTGTGTGCTCAGAGCATGGCAGTTGTTAGGGTGGAAACGTGGGAAGGGAGGGCATCAGGTGAGATGTAAGGACAAGAGCTGCTGTCCTGGGGTCAGGCTGGTTCCTTCTTGCAAACTACAGACATATACACTTAAGAATTTTTTAGAGAAGAACCCTGAAAAACCCTGAAACAAATAGTCAGAGAACTCACAATGAACAGAAATGTTACTCAGTGACCTTGAACTCCTTGTGCTGGTCACAAGGTCCGTACCAGATCCCAGGAGTTCAAAACTGCAGCTTCAGGCTGCTGCAAATCCCTGCATTTCATGGCAGAGCCATTGTAATGCTTTGTCTTGGCAGTGGGTGTTTTGCTTTCACAACTGAAGGTCTTTGTGTCTTTTTTTTTTTTTTTTTTTTTTAGTGTGCAAAGGAACAAAAATTGTCTGTGAAAGGTACTCCTCTGTGCCTTGCTTCAGCCATGACACGACACCCCACAGAGACTTTGATGCTACTAACCTATTATTTTCTTTATGGTATTGATGCATTTATAGTAAAAATTAGATTCCATGTTGCTTCTTCCTTGGGTTTCTAAAACTGAAATCACAGGCACATCTAATACAGGATTTACTTTTTTGTTTGATTCCGTGTTTTTTCATCTTGACTTCTGCTTACCCAGAGTTGCTGGATTTACCACTTAGGCAATATTCTTCCTGTTCTGATTTGAAGCAATTGTTAGTTGCAATCTTTATCTTAAAAAAATAAGAAAAAAATGCTAAGAAACAGCCTTGAAGACTTGGCTCAGTAATCTGTTTTATTCCTTCCCAGAAGTACACTGCCATTGGAATGCTGGGCAAGGCTACTGATACATTAGATGCTACAGGAAAAGTAACTGAAGAAAAACCTTATGGTAAGCATAAATGTATCTGTACACTCAATGCAATTTGAAGGCATAAGTGGTTTCTGTCATAGGAAAGCGGAAGAGATGTTTGGGACTCTGAATTAAGTTTAAATGTGAAATTAAACTAAGATTATTTCATCTTCAACTTCAGTGCTCATATAATTCAAACCAGCTTCATGCAATTATGTCCAACGCAAGTGTTCATTTCTGCTGGAAAAAAACAAACCAGGCATTAGATTAGGAGGGAGGAAATAGAATTGGGCAGGACTGTGTCATTTTCAATCTTTGACAGGCTGACAAATGACGTGCTGTGTCCAGTAACATTTTCCTCTCTCACAGTGTAGTCCCAGGAGTCCTCTTTTAGTAAAACCCTTTAAGGCCAGTGGAGGAATAAAGTACTTGGATCTTCCCTCTAGGACACCACCTATAGACTGCTTAACATTTAATGAGGATGGCATAAACTACATTCTGCATATGGCTTTCTTCCAGATCTTGGTCTTGCTTACATCTTTAATAAATGAAATTTTCTGACTGACAGAGCACGGGGCAAGGGTATAAAGCTTCAGAACTCATCTTGACTGTGGCTTTGCTGGGCATCTTAGAAACAGTGTAGTAACACAGTAAATGGATTTGTTATTAGTTCTTTCACAACCCTGTGGAAAAAAATTAAAAAATAATAGGTAACCAGTTGCTTAGCAACTCTACATGTCTGACATTCTGGTAATAGGTATATGAAGTAAATAATCTTTTTTAATGGTGTGATGAAAAGCCTGGATTGCATTTCTCACTTCCCATCTCCTTTCTTTTGCAGTTTTCCTTTTCTCATGAGGCAGGCAAGCATAGTTTCTTGTCCACATTCTAAGTAGTGTTACTTACTAGGCAGTGTTATTCAGAGATGTTGGATCATTTATTTATGCTTCAGGATCAAGCTCTAAGTCTCTAAGCTTCTGGAGGCCTGAGCATCCACATGGTGTTAGAGTTGCCAATACTTCATGGTGCTTGAATGAAGTGATGATTCACTTTCTTGGTATTTATCTGTATAAAAATCCATGTTTTGAAACACTAATTTTGCTTTTTTCATTCTGTGCTGTTTACTGCAGACAGAATTTAGAGTGTTGTTTTTGTGTGTGTTTCTCTCCCTGGCAGCTCCTGTTACAGCAGTTCCCACCTCTGTTGTGGTGTGTGCTTTCTGTGCACCACCTTTCTGTTAGGCTGTGTGCTTGGGGAGCTGATTTGGCTCGAAAACATCCCCTTTTTTGGGTTGCTTGTCATTTTAAACTGAGATCAGCTGGATGATCCAGTTCATCACATGGTGTGATGAAGAGCAGCGTTGGCATTGCTGGGGCAGTGCTGTTTGGGGTGCAGTTTCCTTTTGCCTAAAGTGATGGTTGAAGGAAATGCTCATGACATTGGTCTCAGTTGCTTTCCATGTTGGTGCAAATCAGTCAGATAGGATTTCTTCAGAAAGAGAAGAGCATGGATACTCCTTTATTACTCTCCATGGTACCTACATGTTTTGTATCCTCATCTTTTCCAGTGTCTTCTCCAAAACAATTTGGTTTTCTGCAGGATACTCTCTTTGGCCCACCATCCCTAATTTCTAACCCTGATAGGTACTCCAAGAAAAGGCAAACCAGATGTTTGAGTTCAATTTCAGTCTTCTTTGGACACCTACAAGGATCCTTGGAGAAGCAGAGCAAGGGAATAAATCCTGCAGTGCCAGCATCATCCAGGATGGGGCCTTAGTGCAGAGAAAGGACACTAAACCAGTTTGCAAAATGTACAAAACTCTTCTTGAGTGACTTCATTGGAACATAAGAGGAAAGTGCCTGCAGAAAGTTGCCAGCTATATTAACTGTAAGAAAGTGTTACATTTTAGTGCTCAAAGTGTCCCTAGACAGCAGCTTAGGAAGCAAACTGTACAGTTAGTCACAATGTCAGGATGTGCTGAAGAGAGCTCCTTGCTTTTAACCCCTTCTGAACTTCTCATAGCTTTTTGTTTCTTACCAGACAACAAGTTTGCAGTTCCCCATGAAATGAGGTTATGGTTTCATACTGCTGCCAGATGCTGACTTTCGAAGCAAGTAGTGTTTAGTATTCCTCTGATGCTTTTTTGAGCACATGAATGTTGGTAGCCCTTCTTTAATATTTGTAACTGTGTACAGGAATGTACGTTCTGAAGGCCACTGCCTCCCAGCTGCCTACAGGCTATATCCAGACATGGAGAGCAAAATTAATGAGGCTTTTCTCAGGTCTCCGATGATTATACTGAAATATATGTTTAATAGAGGCACCTGAATCATTTGGATAGTGTAGTTCTTTCAGGATTCTGCTTGTCTGTTTTCAGATCATTTGTGCTGGGTCAGACTGAATTGAGGTCATTTGCTAAACTTCTCGTATGCTGTCACAGATAATTCTTGTGTTCTCCTTTGGAGTAGTTTGTTAACAAGCACAGGGCAAAATCACCCTTCAGTGAAGGCTTTTTGAGGTTGTGGCACAAATGGCACCTTTGGGTTTGATAACTGTATTTTCCTTCCTTTGTAGCAGGAAAATCAGTCAACAGTCACCAGTACTCAAAAGCACACCAGATCTTAGCAAATGCATCTGTAAATATTTACTTTGATAACACACAACACAGCTCTTGTTTGTTAATGGCTTAATGCATCATTCTTCACATGGGGATTTTTTTTTCTCCTGAGACAGAGCTTGCCTGTATCATGAGTGACTTCCTCAGAGGCCACATGTAACCTCTCAGTCAAGGGAATATGAGATCAGAGCCAGAGCTGAACTCAGGTGGCTCATTTAATGCCCTGGCCACAAATGCAGTTCATGGGGTGAAGATTGGAAGGAGAACTCCAAGGGGCACTTGTGCTTACTTCTTAAATACTGAATTTTAACCTGAAGCTGCCTGGGGTTCACAAGAAGGCTGACAACATCCCTGTCATGGGGCCAAGTCATGCTGACTCTCCGCCATGTAGTTTTGTTGTGATACATTGTTAAATAGAAACAGGATTGAAATAACAATGTAAAAAAAAATATTCAGAAGATTCAGAGTTACTGTACAATTGATTTTGTTGTTCCTAGCCTGTATTCTGATGTAAATGGGTCTCTCTCAGCATCTCAGAGTTTTGTGCCTTGTGCTTTGCAACCTTGCTGTTAATAACACATCTTGGGACAGCTGCTTGGGCCACTGAGGCTGCAGAGTGTGCTTTATAGGAGTGAGGAGCCACAGGATCATCTGCCAGAGCTGCTGTGAAATAAATCTCATCATTTTTACTTACAGCATGAAGTACATCTGGCTTTTAATGTTTGCAAGTAAATATCTGTTTCAAAATACAACAAAGGCTTGAAAAATAAATTTGGTTGGTTTATGTTCCAGAATGCTGTTGACTTAGCAGTGATGACACTAATTAAATATTACTTAAGAGAAACAGGCCAGTCAAACCCTAGACAGTAGAAATGCACTGAAGTGCATTGTGATTGCAGATCTTATGTTTGCACTCTAAAAAAATTAGGGATGGATGTAATTTCTGTTGAATAGATCTTCAGAAGACCAGTGCAATCAGCTACTTAGGTTATAGCCTTCCAATAAAAGTGGGACAGATGTCTATGTGTACTTTTAAAAGAAAGTACATTGCCTAAACCAGCTGTCTTTCTTTTACAGAATTTTCTTAGTAAAATTGCCTTACTTAATATATAACTATACCCCTGAGTGCATTTGCAGGTTAGTTGTTTGACAGGGAAATTTTGATGTGTTGTTTCAGATAAAGTCTTTTTCTGCACCAGTGGTTTTGTTCTCTAATTCTCTTCTCTCTCTGTTGTATTTTCCCCTGCAGTTAGGTTCTCTTAGAGAGAAGTTCCCAGGGTTAGATGAGCATTTTATTCTTTTTGGTGCTTTTTTAAAAAAATAAGAATATTCCAAACATTGTAGCTTTTATATAGTTTCCAAGAAAGATGAGTTTGCAGCCTTAAGAGAGGAGAATTACAAAAGAAAACATTAAGGAGGATTTGTGCCCTTCTGAAAGTATCCAGATTGTCCTGATCACCTTGGACAGTTTGTTCCACTCCTTTTGTGATAATTCACATTCCTGCCTTCAATCTGGTTTTTATCTCTTTTCTTTGGTGTTTTTCACCCCGTCTAAATTCTGAAGAGAGAGAACTCTTTGTGTCTGCTTGCAGAATGTGATTGGTGCCATTAGTGCCATGTGAATAATCAGTACTAACATACTGACTGTTTTCTTTCCACAGACCAGGTAACAAAAGGAGATCTTGAAAATGTTCTGCAAAAGTTCACAGGGGACATCATGCAAGTTCCCCCACTGTAAGTTCATGATATTCACTCACTCTTGACACTTGTGTTCAGCTGTCAGGGCTTGCCAACAGAAGTCAGCTCTGTCAGAAGTATTAAGACGCATTTTGACAAAAGGATAGAGGCCAGGCAATCAGGAGTTTAACATGTGCAAGTGCAGGTCATGCCCATTTGAAGATCCAGCACAAATGGTGACCTGGAGTCTGTGGGTGTTTTGGGCAAATGTAAAGTAGCCAGTCTTAAACAGCTTTGCAGGGCTTGTCTTCTGTCTTCCAATCTCACTGCCATCTCTGTGGAAATGCCTTAAATGACTTTGAATTAGTTTTTTGAAAACTTAGAGTACAATTGAGTGATTAATGACTGAGCTTCTGTAGCTTAGAAAATTTCATCTGGTCAGGTGAGCCATAGTAGCTGGCAGTGTGCATGACTTAGCTTGTGACAGATGGCTTTTCTGGTGGTTTCAGCCAGCCTGCTTTCCTTTGCATTTGCCATGTGTCACTTACTGTGCTTCCAGTGTGAGCCCTGTAAGGTCAGTAATGCCCCACGTGTTCTGCTTCATGTGACCTGTTCCAAATTGCCCTCTCACATTGTGAGCAAGATCCTTTTAGATTTTTCTGTGCTCATCTTTCTGTCATGCCCAAAGTTGGAGCTTTGGATAAAGGACCATGTAATCAGTGAAATCAATTTCTGTGGTCTGTAGTGGTTCCCTAAACATTCTAGAATATGGCACTTGCTGTTCAGGGAAGATCCTGGTGTGGGACAAGGAAAAGGGCAATGTAGAATGACAGGAGTTGCCTGAGTGGCTCCCAGTGTCACACTGAAAACAGGATGCCCTGCTGACTGCTGAGACACGGGATGCTAGAGGCAGCTGCAAGTGTTGTAACCCTTATAGAAACCCTTTTATTTCATGAACTGCAAAGTGAGTGATAAAATGCTTTTAAAACCGTACAGCAAGAGAGAAATACAAGGCCATCTCTTGTTTTCTGGTTTATGTAGCTGCTGGTAAGTGGGATGATTCTGTGTCCAAGATATTTCAGCAGCACTTGCTGAGTTTTTGTGGGTTTTTGTGAGTACTTGGAGAGCTGTAAAAGGAGTGCTTCCCTAGTACAATATTACCAGAATCTGGAGAATGGGAAGCCTGTTCTGTTACAACCATATGACACACATTTTCATGGTCTGTCTGATCAGCTATTCTGCTTTGAAGAAGGATGGAGAAAGGCTTTCAACTCTGATGAAGAGAGGGGAGGCAGTGGAAGCAAAGCCTGCTCGGCCAGTGAGAGTGTACAGCCTTTCTCTGCAGCAGTTCCAGCCACCACTGTTCACGCTGGGTAAAGGTCAAAGATTATTACATAGAGCAATGCTCCCAGCTTGTTAATGTTTATTTACACTCAGAATGGGACTAACAGAGTGAAATGGGTTTCATTTCACTCAGCTACTTATTTTGGTGTGAGCCCATGTGCAGAGACTTTCACTTTGTATTAAAAGCCCTGTATTTTGGTTTTAAGTTAAGCTGATTATATCTAATCTCTCAGTGAGGCAAAATTCTGAGAGACTGGTCAGGGGATTATTTGCATCTGTCCATGATTTTGCAACCTCCAGCTCATTCCTCTCTCAGGTCTGCTTACTGCACTTTGCCATTCCTACACACAGATTCCCAGACCTGCTGGCATCTCTCTCAGGACCAGTTTCAGTTATTGTCAGACCCCTTTCTTGTTGAGGAGGCAGGATCTTATCCTTCCTTCTGTCATTCATCAAGAAACTGGGGTAGTACATTAAGAAGCATATTAATAAATAAACCAGAAAATACTCTTGTAAATGTTTAATGCTGCTGTAAGGTCAAGATGATGCCTTGAATTGATCTGTCTGCCCAGTTGATCCCCATTCCTGTGATGGACCAGATGTTTTCTGGTGAGCAGGTATGAGTGACAGAACTCAGTGCTGTGTGACTTCAGCCCTTTATGGTTGGGTGACAAGGAGCTGATCACTGGCAGAGGGGGAAGGGGAGGGCTGAGAGAGCAGGGAAAGCTAAAGGTGAATTTTAAAATTTTAATGGAGCTGCCTGTCTGCAGTACTGACAGTCAGTTTAGGCTATACTAGAAATAACTTGCTTTCATCATTAGAAATATGGAATCAACCTGAAATGCTTAAAATGAATAGGACTGAAACATTTCTTAACATACCATAGCAGGTTCTTAAATTCTGGTGAGTTAGTATAGTTGCCATTTTATTTGCTTTCCCTCCTGTCTAGCTTAGCAATTTCACCCTCACATATGTTCCAGGATGAATAATTGATGTTGCATCCTATAAATATTTTATCACTGGGTTGTTTGCTTAGCACATTTTTACATTTATGTGGGGGCATGGCTTCTATGTAGATTTCACATGGCACTGGCAATTTACCATGTCACTTTTAACATTCCAGATGTTGAATGTGGTGGTGGCTTTTATGTCAGGAGCCTGGTCAATGACATTGGCAAAGGTAGGCATGAAAAAACTGCATGACAATGTAAAGAACAAGTGTGTGTTTATGGAAAAAATTTGTCATTCTGTATATCTCAAGTAACTAGACCTGTGTGTTATTTTGCAGAACTGTAGTGCTATCACTTGTTTTTATATACTCAGGTAATTTCCTTAGGGGCATGGGGGAATGATGGCTAAATAATTGCCAGGGACCTTGGGGGCAAACTGATAAAAATGGAGCAAGCAATAGCACTGAGCAAGATAATGCAAGGCAAGGGGGGGATGTTTTTTCTCCTCTCTTTCATGTGTTAAAGCTAACTCAGATTAAGGATGAGAAGAAGAAAGATACTGTCTTTTTAAACATTATTCATCACATTTTGAAAACAGATTGCACAGAACATTACCATGCACATAATAAACCCTATCTGCTGGAAAGACTTCCACACTGGTGATGATTTTTCGAGTGTTTTCTTTCTCCTCTGCCTGAACAGTGAATAGTTTTGCTTTCCCACAGGGTTATTTGTCTTGTGCTCTCTGTCTATCAAACTGCATGATGGAGAATAGATAATCCATTTCTAACTTCTCTTTTTTTTTTTTAAATGATACATTTGTAGGAAGGCAAGTAATGTGGGATAACCCTATGAATTTCAATGTTGTTATTTGTGCTTAGGCAAGTCCAAGTTTCTGTTACTGCCTTCTGAGCATACTGGCTTATGTTTAGCCCTTTAATGAAAACCAAGATAAAGTCTGTCCATGGCTGGCTTCTTTTCAAAAATTGAAAATGAAATAAAAACCTTCCTGCATCAGAAAGTATGAGAGAGAATATTTTAGTGTACCTGTGTGCTTACAAGTCAGTGCTTGTTGCTGTTATGTTTTGTAGCTTCTTGATATGTAATTATGTCCTGCTGGTTTTCATTTAACATAGGAGAGTATTTGTATATATTTTTTTATTTTTCCTTATCTTAGTTTCTGTTATCCTGGTAGGCAGCACAGGATAAAAATGTTAAAAATACCTCTTGAAGGCAAGAAGTGCTAAGGCCTCAAAATGTGTAAAAAAATAGTTCAAGGTCACTTGAGAATGCAGAATGTTCTGCTTACATCTTACAACATTTTTTCCTCACTTTCCATTCTGATCTAAATCTGGGAAAACTCTTGACAGCTTTCTGTCAATTTCTGAACTCTTTACTACACTGGACAGTTATTGAAATCAGAGGACATCCTTGGGTCAAATTTAAGAAGATACAAATGAATGATGAATCTTCATGACCTTCCTTGTCAAACAAAGCAGAATAACATAAAAGGCTACATACAAAAATGTATATTTAGTGAGCTGGAAGTGGTTACACTTTTCCAGTTTATCCATGTGCTTTGTCCAATCGCTGTTTCCTCCTTTGCTGCAGAGCTCTCCACCTGTGCGTCGGTGCAGGAGCTGACGCGCACCAAGCAGGGCCCGTTCACGCTGGAGGAGCACGCCCTGCACGAGGACAAGTGGACAATTGATGAAATTGCTCAGTCCCTGGAGCACTGCAGAGCTCTGCTCCTGGGAGAGCCAGCTCGGAAAAAATTGAAGACAGAGCATCCTGGTGAATCTGCTGTGGTCTGTGAGGATAAGTGATAAGTTGGATCAAGGAAAAAGACTGGATGATTGAGATGCTGTAAGATTGGATTGGGATTGTCTCGCCTCCTGTGTAAATCTACAAGTCTCTGCTGGGAAGGTGACAAGCTGCAACACAAGAGAAATGGTTCTTTTGTTTCCTGGGGTTAGAATGTGCACTGAAGATGTTCAGTGCTAAGTGTTTCTTGATTGTTTACTTTCCTTCTTGCACACCATAACTGATGCCAAATTTTTATAGACTTTTAAAGAACTTTCAGGGTGCAAGATGACTGCTCTTGAGAATTCATCAATAAAAAAATTATATACAATAATATCTGATAAATGTGTTCCAGAAAATGTTTCTTTTTCTTTGCAGCTGGTAATGAAATCCTGAAATACCATGGTGACAAGTCCCTCATAGCTTAAAGGACCCAAGAATGTGGTGTGGCAATTTGCTTTCTTGAAATTCATTTCAGGATATATCCATTTTGCCAGAGTTTTTCCTATGCAGTTTGTTCCCCAGTCAAATGTTCCTAGAATGCAGTATATGAGAGTGCTAATATTTTAAGTCAAGGGAATAGTTTTAAGTCCAAATAATCCCTGAAGATGATGGGTTTGTGCCTGCATCTTACAAAAAAGTGATACATTAAGTGTTGATTCCAAACTTACTTTCAGTCTAAGAAATTAAATTAATATTGTGAAGTTCCTCATTGCAGGATACCCTTCCAGACATCTATATGATTTATTTTTGTTTTCTATACAATAAGAAACTGAAGTCTATGCAAGGTTAATGAAGGTTTTGTTTAGAAGGAGGATGGATTTGTTTTATTCAGTAAACAATTTTCTTCCTTTTTATATTCTTGTAAAGAACTTAAAGGAAATGTTGAAAATAGCACGAGCAAATTGAAATGGTAGAGCACTACAGCAGCAGCATATTTAAAGTACAATATGAATGAAGTAATGGATACAAGAAATTCTGATTTCAAGGATGAAGAAAAACTTGTGTCCAGTGAGGTAACAGTGGAGAATTTTTGTTTCTTTTTGGGGTGTGTTTTCTGGTACTTTGGGTAGAAACAGGGAAACAAGAGATTTTTTTTCCTCAAGAAATCAAAAAAAGCAGAAAATTTAATTTTCCAGTATACTTATCTTGAATGATCAAAGCCTTTCATTGAAACACAGCTTCTCTTACTGTCCAAATCTGTATTTTCCAGTTTATGTTATCCCAGTGGTTTTCTAGATTAAGTTGTCATTCATCTTCCTGATTTTTGAAAAATAGCACAGTAGATATAATTCTGTTAGTCTCCTTCTTTCATCTTCAGGAATTTATTTCTTTAAAAATCAGTGGAATTGAGAAATGTCTTTATTAATAGGGTACATTTGGATACAGTGTTGTGTCTAACACATTCTTAATCTCATCTGTTTGTTTAATGCTCACCAAGCCTTTCTTGCTATTCCATTTCAGAGCCCCTGATATTTTTAGTTTCAAAAGAATTCTATTTCCATCAGCTTTTTTGTTAGCTTGCAAGTGGTCTGCTGTAATTATTGCTAACAGATCTGTGATCCTGAGAAGACAGGATCTGCTCCATAGTCGAGTCACTGGAAAGGAATGGAATGGTAATTAAGAAAGGCATCTTGTGGACATCAACAAGTTCTGGTTTGGGCTGCAAGTCCTGATGCGTATGGAAAGCATAGGAAGAGGTGGAATGCACTTGTTCATGTTCAGGAATCTGTACAGAATCATTCAGGCTGGAATAGACCTTTAGGACCATCAGGCCTCACCATTACCCCAGCAGTGCCACGTCCACCAATTCACCAGCTTTAGCCTTTTTTCCTGGAATCCTCTCTTCTTCCCCTGTGCATCAGAAATCAAGGGAGAATTTCTTTATCTCAAGTTAATGACAGACTTCTCCCCACATAACTCCTGTTGCAGTGCAGAAGGTATTTCCCTCTGCAGCTGGGTAGCAAGTGTGTTTGGCTGGACAAACCCATGGCAGGCAGCAGGAAGTGGTGTTGGAAAACACAGTGTGAAGAGTGAAGAAAGCCATGAACACATTATGCAATAAGCACTGATGAGTGTCACTCCCATTCCATTCCTAAACACTTCAGCTATCTGCTCAAACATTCCAACTCCTCAGGCTCCTTCCCAATGCTTTCCCTGTGTGCTGGGCCTCACTTGTGTGCTTTATCCCAAGTTCCTCCATGCTTTAATGGTGCCCTGAGCCTGTAGTTCCACTGAATAGTTACTGGGAAGCTGCTGAAAAGTTCAGGAATAGCCTTTTTAGTTATGTTTTAATAAGTGTTTAACCCAGTATCTTGAAACTATCCAGATTTGGACGTGTTGTGTTCCCATGGGAACCTAGGGAAATACTTGTTTTAACTTCCTTATTCTTACTAGCATGCTCATCCCAGAGCTACCAGACTTCAGAATTGAGGTATATCCACAGCAAAATGTATTCTTGTTAGAAGAAAATATTTCATGATCCTGGATTTGGTTACTGACAGTCATGATAACATTCAAGAGGAAAAATGTGTATACAATATTTCTGAGATTTAGAGTTAGTACTGAGATCACAGCTGAAGCAAATGGTAGTTAATAGAAATTTTATGGTACTCTGGCCAGAAAATGTGTCTGTGATTTACCATTTCAAATGTACCCATGACACAGATTGAAAGATTTGCCTGATTTAAATGAATGTTGTTCATGGGGAAAGTCCTGATGCCAAAGTGTGTCCTGCTTTTTGGGCTGAGTATTGTCTGTCCTAATGTGGACTTGCTGTCTCCATGGAAGTGTGGTACCATAGCCTGGCCCTGAGTGCTCCAGTGCTGCTGCTGCTTTGGTGAGTTTGGCAAGGGCTTCAGAATTTGTCTCCCTTCAATGTCTCTGCCTAGCTGGCTGCCATTCTTCCTCATTTAAATGGTAGTTTTCACTTTATAATATATTCCTGCTACCAGCAAAGTAAAACTTTGAGTAACTCCCCCAATTTTGGGATACCTTATTTTTTTATAGATGGTGAATTTGCTACTCTGTGTATGAATTTGCTACTTTGTGTATGAATGGCTCCCTAACTTATGAGTAGGGTCGTGCTGTTTGCTTGGCAGAGTCAAGGTGTGAGTTTGCAGAGGTGTTAATTTGATTAAAAAGTCCTTGCAGAAGCAAAGTGAGTGTGTGAGGGTGTGACTGCAATGTACAGCCAGAGGGAAATCACAGAGACAGTGAATGGATTCAGCCAGCCTGGGCAAAATTATTGTCTCTGTTTAAAAGCAGTCATTGTTTCTAATAGCCATGGGTTTAATTCTCTTCTTTGTGAGACCTGATTAGGTAAATCACCAATAGTTAAAGGCATGTGAGGCAAGCAAGTTTATCATGTGAATGCTTATGTCTGCTCTGGGTGAGGAGATGCCACATCTCTGCCATCAGCTGCTAAGATCATACAGGTGCAAACAGGTAAAGCAAGAAGTTGGTAATTGGCAGTGGGTGGTTGCAGTGCTGGAGAAGAAAAGGACTATATTGCAAGAAAAAACCCAATATTTTGCAATTCTTGTTTTGGGGAAATGTTGGAAACAATGCCATGGTTCAGAGAAAGTGGCTGCCTGAGAAACAGGCCTATGGTTTTGTTATGGGTGTGGATGTCTGGGACTTTAATCCTTTAATCCTCACCTCTAGCTGCAGGAAGTGGGTTAAATCAAAGCTGCAGCCTCTCCCCAAATTCTCCACGTCACATTGCTCCATGTGGATGCTGGAGCAATCTCCTGCCCAAACTCTGGGCTCTAAAGGGGATTGTGTGGCTTGCCCAGAAGTTAACAGGAACAGAATGAGGAGGACAAAACATGAGGCAATGGAAATTGAAATATAAACACAAAATAGCCTCCTTCTTGCCAGACATATTCATTTTAGGTTACAGCTCTGTGTCTGGCCTTTCCACTCTGCATCCCATTACCTTATCTACTGTCTGAGACAGTTCATCCTAAAACTTTTCTTATCCTGTCTTTTGAATTCCTTTCTGGGGACATGGGAGCCTTGGGGCTGTGTGGTTTCTGGGGGACAGGAAAGCTGGTAATAAAGCAGAACTGAAAAGGACGAGGTGTGTCTGGTCCTTTTCTCACCATGACCCTTTTGTAAGAAAGACGTGGTTCTGAATGCTTTAGTGCCATTTCCCTGGGACATGGGATTATTTTAGATATTTCAGATTTAAGTACTTCAAAGTCAAATCTGCAGCTGAGTGCATGCATTAGAAACAAAATGCATCATTTCACAGATGTCATGCTACTTTCAGTGGCTTCAGAACATGATTTTACAGCTTAAAAGAAGGGGGGTAGAAAAGGAACAGCAAAAGGTAAGTGCATATTTCAGTTCTTATATTTTTAAAGTAGATGAACTCAGTTTTGGTAATTATGTAAGAAAAGACATCAAGTGTTATAATGGAGAAAAAGTAAAGAGAAGGAACACGTTTTTTACTGCCTTTTCTGTTTCTTTTAGCACAGAACAATTAGCTTAAATATGCCATTTCAAAGCTTAAGAAGCTTTTATGTGGAAATGCTTGAGAGATTGTTACTGTGTGCTGATGTGAAAAAAGGCATTTATTTTCATTTCAGCAGTTGAAAAGATAGTTTTCTGTGATGCCCTTCAAAAGGCAGTGTTTTCTTTTGCTTGTGTGAAATTACAGTAAATCCTTGGCATAACTTCCTCTTGTGAGTGGTGTGTTCACAGTAAATCATTTCCCGCAGCTGGCTGTCCTGGGGATCACAAAACTGTTTCAAGTTCTGCAGGTACCTACTAGGCATTCCCAGTGGAAATGGAACATTTTGTGCAAATGTATTTAGAAAACAGGACAAATTCTCAGTAATCTTTGCTATGCAGATTGCTCTTTTGGTAAAATAACATCCAGGCTGCGTTAAACCTCGCAGTTTAACGCGAGTTGCTTTGTGTACAGTTTTTTACTCTTAATTTCACAAAGGGCACTGGCAGACTGTTGATTTCTTGTCCAGGTGATTAATTTCCCCCAGCTGCTGCATACACAGGGACATTCCTGGCTTTAACCTCTCCATTTGCTCCGTAGGATTCCCAAGGACGGCAGAAAGGAGCGCGCGGTCACCCCCCCTGCCCCAGCCATGGGCTGCTCTGTGACGTGTTCATGGTGCAAATAAACCAGAACGGTGGGAGAAGAGCCTGTGCCTCATTCTGCTGTCCTGATAACCTCCAGCAAAAGATTAAGAGAGCAACAGGGGACAACAATTTTCCAGTAATTCTCCCTCCAAGTAAGAATCAATGGGAAACGGCAGCGAGGTCTGTGGGTACAGAGCTCACCTAAAGCATGTGATTATTTCTTTTGACCTCAATGAGAACACTCCTGTCCTGTTTTATTAAATTATGTAAGTTATTACTCACTGAATTAAGGCCTTGTGTGTTTCATTTTCACCTATCATGGTTTGGGGGTTTTTTTTCCAATTTAGTAATGTGAACTGATGGTTCACAACTGAGCTTGATGGTTTGAAAAATTGTATTGCTTCTACAGGAGAAAAAAGAGACTAAAATAAATATTAATGGTGTGGCACAACACTTAGAATTGTTCCATGTCTAATGAATATGTAGCAGTTCTATTTTCTACTTAAACACAGAAATTGTCAGAATAGAATTAGTGCTATTTAAAAAAAAAAATGTGTTTATCTAGGAAATTAATTTCTCTAGGGAGTGCTATTAAAGGCTGTACAGAGTGGAGAAACTTATTTGAATGTGTTGGTGATCTGTTTCTAGAGTTAGGAACATTTTTATTGAATTGTGTGCCATATCCCTGTACCTCTGTACCAGTTTTGTCTGTTTTTCTTTGCTGTACCATAGATGTGAATTCCTGGAAAGAGCACAGTGATAACAATCCAAGCTGCTCTTCAGCCACCCCTTTCCAGCAGTGGAAATAGGGAGTGCACATCCCCCCTTTGCTCCCCTGCCTTAACAAATCCAAGTTGGTCCTTCAGAATTTTATAGAAGCAACCCAGAACTAAGCCATGTTACCACAGAGAAAGCAATGAATGGGATTTCAGGAGAGGAAATTTTGTGGAAGCAGAGCATGTTTCATGGGGGCAAAGAGAGAACTCAGCAGGATTGCCTATCCCCTGAATCAATATTTTGATACTGAACACACCACACCAGAGAGATTTTCCAAGGAAGTGCATTTTGTAGAAGAGCATCAGGAGTACAGGATCACAGGGGTCAAGCTCCCACCATTTCTGGGATTATCAGAGTAATTGGGTGAACTCTCACCTCTCCTTTGCTAAAGGAGCTCACTTCTCCTGTTTGACTCTCACACTCCAAGGCGAGTTTTCAAGCTCTTTGGTCGGCTCTCACAATTCCTGCAGTTTTCTGTGACTCTGTACACACCAGATATGATTCAGAAAGCAGCTCTTGACTCTGCATTTTTTAAATTTTCACCTTTTAAGTTTAGAGGAAAAAAAAATAGAAAGGAATGCCTGGGAGCATCTCTGTTTCAGGCACAGGCTTCTTGCTTTGTGCTGTTTTGTCAGGTAAACCTGGCATAGAGAGGGCATCCCATGAATCTCTCCTTGTGTAAGGAAAACATCCCTTTCTCCCATCACTTCTGGATCCTGTGCATGCTTGGGGTTTTTTTTCAGAGTTGGACAGCTTTTCCCAAACCCTCCTGCTCCTTGGTACCTTGGAATCATTTATCTCTCACTGCAACAATGAGCTGGTTTCATAACTGGCCCAAGGCTATAAAGCAAAGTTACAGTCTGGGGATGCTGCTGACTGTGGTCTGGAAAGGAGAAAAAAAATTGGCCAGGAGCAAGTAATTGTTGAATGGCAGAAACACCTGAGAGGTCTTGGTAAATCAAGAAAAATGGCTGGTGTCTGAAAACACTGGTGTGGTACAAGGCTGCAAAAAAATGGGATTCGGCTTTCCAAGGTGTTTTTACAGCATTTGGCTTTGTTCTTTCTCAGCAATGTAACAGCACTCCCAGAAAAGTGGGATTGTTGGTATCCAGTCACACTGTTCCAGGTTTTGGGAAGCTCATTTGATACAGCATTTGTTTATTTTCTGGTAGAATTTTCTGTATATGTAAATCCTGTAGTAAAATGCAATAGGTTGTCAGCAAAGCTGGAATTCAAACTCAATTTCCAGTGAATTGCAGCGCACTTCCCAAGGAGCAGCTCTGGAGGAGTGAGGGGGCCCTGTGTCTCCATTCTGTGGGGTGCAGAGTTCTTGCTCATGAAGGTTCAGGCATTTTTCAGGGATTTTTTTTCAGCTGGGAAGAAAAAGAAATCTTTGGCCTCAATGTTAGTGTATTTTACCCTTCAGTGAGAAAAATGTCTTTCAGTGTTTGTTTGGAGGTAAGGTCAGCCCAGTGACTTGTCTGTTATATATAACCCAAGCCACAGGCTTCATCTTCCATTCTGGAGATTTATTTGACCCAGAGAGACCAGTGAGGAGCTGCAGCCAAGGGAAGAAAACACTTTATTTCTCCAAACTGATGGAATACCAGATGTGTGCCCACAATGGAAGAAATTTTAGGCTACAGTTATCTGAATTCATTTGCATAAAGGAATAAGAAACTTTCTGTTGTGTCAGCTTATTTCATTTCCTGGGATGTTCTCTCATTATGAGGGATTACTTTAATTCTGCAATAATTATAATTCAACCCCATTGCTGTGTGCATCCCAGTGTATGGCTGCAGAGAGAGATCTGATTCTTGCCTCTAAAATCTGCTGTCTGTAGACTCCAGTGTGAGCTGAGGACTTCAACCAAGCCCAGCTGATCTCATTGTTTCATTGACTATGAAAATCTTTAAAAAGAGAGTGAGTATCAAGAATGATGCAAAAGAGGAAAAAATATTTGTATTTTGAAATATTTATTTTGGCAAATAAACCTGTCAGTAATCTCAGGGTTAGCAGGGAACTTCTCCAAAGCAGGGATTAATGTCTGTTTAGAGAGGAGGATTCTTAGACAAGCTGTTGAATATTCTGGTCAGTGGGCTCAGGGAGCTGCTCAGGCCTGACTGCCAGCTCAGGGGTTGCTCCTCACAGGCTCCTGCTAAGTCAACAGGATTTAATTTGAGCTTGTGTTTCTGTCATGCCAACTTGGTCAGTTTGTTGGCTGCTCTGTCAAAGTTACAGCCTGGCGCATCAGAGCTTGAGAGCTTCCACACAGCTGGCTGAGTCCAAGTGATCAGAATTAACTCTGTAGGAAAAATGTATTGTATGAAGAAGCAAAAGTTGGAGTAGGCATCAGGTATGCAGGGAAAAATGTGAGGAGGAGGGAATTTTTTTGTTTTTTTTTGCTTTGCAACTCTGTTTTATTAGAATTTATTTGGTTTTGGTTTACTCAAACTTAGTCTCTGCAGTCTATGGCAGGCTGAAGGTAGAATGAAAAGAAGCTGCAAATTCACAGAAATTGTCCAGGTCAGAGCTGTTATTGCTAATTGCAGAACTGTCAATGTCATAAGGTTGTGTCATGTAAAGGCATTTTTGGGTAGTAATTAATATTTACCTGCTTGTCTTGCTCATCTGGAAGTTCTTCATCTGCCCAGTGATGCTTCACAGAGGAGGAGTCCAGGAGATGAAGGTATTAATGTGCTTTAATTTCATAAGCAAATGGTGGACTCAGGACTGTTGACTCATGGTCACAAGGGTGTCAAGCAGGGCTTTAAGGCAATTATTGAGGATTTTAGTTCACTTAGAGTAGGATCTGGCTTGTGAACGAGACAGCATTAATGTGAAACATTAGAGTTGCTTCCCAGACAGTGTGTGTACCACAGCAGATGATGTTTTACCTCTCCATATGTTTCCCAGTTGAAGTAGGAAGCCAGACAAATCATGAGGAGAGGAAATAAACATCCGTGTTTATGGGTGTGAACTCTTAACAGCAATTAAGATCAACAGATCTCTTAGTCAGTCTGAAATTAGCAGTTACCTGGATCATGGTTTATTCCACCAAATTGAAATTCTGCTTGCCATATAATTTAGGATTCAGGTACATAAGGTTATCGCAAATATAAACTGGTCCCTTAGGGCAGGAAATGCAAAAAATGTATAAAATGTATAAAACTATTTTTTAATATTTTGGGGAGTAGTTTTATGTGCCTTAAAGCTTCCAGCTTGCATGTGATAAAGTCAAATTTGATCAAAACAACACATGCAACCTGCTGTGCTCCCCTCACCCCTTCACTAATGGCAGAATATCTGCCTGTCCTTTCTTGTAATTAGATCCGTCTTAACCACTTCAGCTCAAAAATGCCCAAATATTTCCTCTGACTTCACTGACATTATTCCAGATTAATACTTGTGTGATGTAGAGCAGAAATCTGCCCTGGAGAATGTGGAACCCCAAAGGCATTCACAAAAGCCATTTTTTAATAAGAGCACAAAAAGAAGATGTTACAGTTGAATGTCATTTGTCATTGTCTCCATTTGCTTGTACCCAGTTGTAAAGGAGGGATGCAGGGAGGTTCTGCCATCAGCTGCTGGCTCAGTCCTGGTTCCAAAATAAAGCCCAGAGCCCCAGGAGTCTCCTGTGAGCCCTGGGCTGAACTCTGAGGCCGCTGCTGGGAGTCCCTTTGAACCAGCCTGTCCTGTGGCTTTGCTGCTTGCCTGGGCTGTTATCTGAGCCCTCTTTAACTGGCTACTTTCAAATGTAATCGAGGATGTTGTGTTCAAAGCACTGAGCTTTCTGAGAAGGGCTTTGCACTTTAACAAGTCATCTTCTGATGCAGTGAACAATGACCTCTGTCCTGTTTTGGGTAGAGATAAAGCTAACATGGAAGGTTCTGGCATTCTTTAAATGTCCCAGCTAAATATACTTTTATATTTCTGAGGTCAAAAATGCAGATGGCATTTCAAAGTCTGGGTTTTACTATTTTCTTTGTTCTCTAAGTAATTCCTTTTACTCAGCACTACTAAAGGAGTTCAGGCATAAGGGCTGTTCTTTTATAATGCCACATATTTGTATTGCACCTCTTACCTGGGGATATGAAAATAATTTGCAAATGTTAATTAAGGGTTCCACCTTAGTCAAGTGCTGAGGCACTGACAGATTTTCTCTGGGAAAATGCGTTAGGAGAGGGTTGGAGAGCAGTGCAGGGTCCTGTGTTCCATCTCACTGACCTTGACCTCTCCTGACTGCTCTGTCTTTGCCATCCTTTACCTGCTGCTTTGTTCTGGAGTTGTTTATGGCAAAAATACCTTCCCAGTGCGGGAAAGCCCACAAAAAAGCCTCTCTTTCAATCTGGGCTTTAGGAACACCATAACATAAATGGGTTTATGCTTGTGGGCTCAGTGTGTTATCTGTTGGTGGATCCATGAGGAGGAGCAGGTCGTGGGCCAGCAAAGCTGTGCCTGAGCTTTGTGTCAGGTTTGCAGTGCAAAGAGGGTGGGTGCCGTGGAGCT